CTTAAATTACTTCGACAGGGAACGAAATTCAGCGCCTAATTCATGCCATTCATGCCCTTGAACAATAAACCTATGTTGAAGAATATTCATTTCAGTTTGTTGGGGTAAAGATGCTGGTAGAAGCACAAGCAAACGGGACTTGTCAATTTTGTGACTCAGGGCATGGGCGCAGTGGCTCTTGATCTTTGCGAAAGTTCTGAGTGGTACTGTCACGGTCATGACACTCATCATCAGACGCACAACTTGTTCGTTCCATCACTTGATAAATAGATACAAAAGAACTATAGTTTCTCAATAAATATTTCGATGTCGGCGAAAAAGTTTACGCGTCTATAAAATCGAAAATGATATCCGCAGTCCAATAAGAATATTTTATTCCAGGCAGTAGAGCCAAATTAAACACGGTTCGCTAGTCCCCAATAAGTTGAAATTTCTCTATTCAGCAACTCACATTAGTTGTGTAACAGTTGTCTTCCCTCTATTGTGTAGATACTATTTAAGGTTTTCCTAAGGCACGACACAGACCAAAACCATCATGCATTGGTGGAACGAACCTGGTAATATGGCAAAAAAGGACGGATTTATGTTTTAAAGTACCGGCACGCTATTACGACCGTTTTGACGTTTGTCCGCTCATCAAGTTTTGTATTAATTCATAACTGCGTTGTAGCAGCTAATTGCTGTGCATTGTTGTCAATAGTGACGTGCAGTAAAATATATGGAATGAATAATTTTACGACACAACTCGGCATTTGTTTTTCGAAATTTAAAAAAAAGAAATCTAATACGGTAGTCTCTTATGGGATCGCTGGCCACGTCTCAATTTTCGTTTTATTAAAACTTTTTAATCGGCTACCCCTTGCAATACTAGTTATAAATCTTAAAACTTATAGATACGACTGGTATTTGATTATATTTTTTTTCGATAATGAATTGAGATTTCATCTCACTATTGTAATCTGTCAAACAGTGATCATAGCCTGCCTTGAATGAATATACATAAGTGTAAAACATGATCACAGTCTTACCTGATGTGACCGATAAAATTATGCGATTGTGTGTGATTGTACTGCTACACTAACACTATTTTAGACTGCTATATTGAAAGCTATCTAGGTAAACTAAGAATTGGGAATTTCTTATTTGTACCAGTTTACCATTGAATTATACCATTTTGTAAATCTGTGGGTGGTCCTCTATCAATGCGTGGGCGCAATCGTCAATGTGATACAACACAAGTCTTGTATATCACACGTGTGTATTCAGTCTGTGAAGCGACTTAGTGGCTGACCATTAAAGAAAATTGTGCAGGAATGACGACATTATTACAATCTGTGTCTACAACATATAACTTAGAAAAAGGTGTGAAATGATATGTATTTTATTGTCAATATTAATGGATATTTATCGTGTGATTCCTGAACAGAACAGTATCACTCGGTAACTCACAATGAGCAGCATATAGGTTTTAAAATTCATTAAATAAAATAATTTGTAAAACGTAATGTAGCGTAAATTCGAATGTTTCTTTGTAAAATTTAAAAATAAGGTATTTCATTATAACTTTTGTAACTATAATGATAAAATAGGGTGGTTTGCATTAATATTAGACATAACTGGTTGATTTTTGTACCACATCAGTCAACCGTGACCATGGGACCTGTAAAGGACCCGAAACGTTGGCTTGTTTGAAAAAACTGATATATGCGATTTAAATCCGGAAAAATAGTTTCATTTCCTATGTGTAACAATCGCGAAAACCTAAGAACTCGATAAGAATATAGGTATTAAAAAAATTAATGACTCTAGCATGATAGCATTTATATGAGTATGAGCAATGGGTAGACATCGTCTTAGTTGCAATTTCGCTAGCTGCAAATGGGTGAGCCTGACGCAGGGGGCGTGGAGAATGGCACAAATTAAGGGAGTCCTAAATCCAGTGGGTTAGGTCATTGATTGATGGATTGTATGAATAAATTGTGCCTCTCAAATAATACCCTGCATGCTACTACTGATCTACGGGATCAAATTATTACTTGCATTGGTAAACAAAAACCTATAAGGAAGTGTGCAAATCAAAAAAGGTCCGCACACAAGTTGAAGACTGAATTCCTTTATAGCAAAAAAATCAACAAATTTAATAAAAAGTTTTCCACTTCACAATAAAAAGTGTACAATGCATAGTTATTTACCCCTTTGCAAGAAAGATGCGCGGGCGCGTGGCGAGCGCGTGCCCGAGAATTACACTCTCCACCTTATTACCAACGCTCATTAGACGCGATTGAGCACCCGCGTCGGGTCATAGAGTTGTTTAACACCTAGTACACTCATACTAGTTACAAATACTAGTGTTTGCAACAGTTACATGAAAAATCAGCCCGTGACCGCGGCCAGTGAAACTTGGCCAATATAGTCGGAAAATATACAAACACCTTTTAAATCGATTCTATCGTGTTTATCCATATCTGCAATGGTAGAATAATGCACTTGGTGAGTGTAAACAGTTATGTAATATGTTTAAAAATATAAAATGTTTAACATGACATGATAAGAAGTGACACAGTTGTACAAGCATTTATAACAAAGTAATGCATAGAACTGATTAAAAAGTCATAATTTATATATTAATTCTTATTACATTTATGTTAATTACATAACCCGAAATAATAAAATTTATTTCAAAAATTACACAATGAAAAATTACCCAGTGCGTCACACTAGGTAGTGAAAACTAAGCTTTCTGTCACTTTTTCTAGATTTAAGAATAATGTCAGCATTACCGTCTTCCGGTTTTAAAGGGCAAGGGCTCTGGTGAAATTACAGGCACATGGCAGACTTGTCAACTCATGTCTCAGGGTAACGGGAGCAGTGGCTGTGCTTCTCAGATCTTTGCGATTTAAAGCCTAGTGGCGCTGTAACTTTTTTTTTATAAAAAATAAGTGCGCATTAGACCTCTTTCTCACCTGATGGAGAGACGATATGACATGCATACTTAAATAATGCTTATTCACTCTCGCCTTGAAAAGGTCCAAGTTATAGCATTCGGGGAACAAGTCCGCAGGGAATTCCACTCTTAGCCGCTCGCCGTATAAATGTAGAAGGGTAATGCTTCATACGAATTCTGGCCATAGGGTGGAACCCCAGCCCACGTCTAGTCTCCCGAAGATGAAAAGTGAAGGCGGAATCAAATTATGCAATTTCATTGCACACTCTCCTTGATATATTCTGTAGAATACCGATAAGCAGACAACTTTACGGCGGTGTTCAAGGGTCTGCAGCCTAGCTCTACTAATTCCAAGTCACCTACAAGCCTCGTGACACGCTTGTCAATTGAATCCAAGGTGTTACGGACAAGCGTGTCGCTTACTTACTGACTTCTTCGTCCCGTCACTTGGTTCATAAAAAAAACTTAATATACGCTTCTAATATAAAAATAATATATTAAATACGACGTATATGAGCACGAACATTATTAACAGCAAAAAAGTCTATACACTAGAGTGTACCCGCTAGAGCGGCGTCATGGATTGACTTATACAATGTCAAAAAGGGGTCACTAAGATTACAAGTAACTTTGCAACGATTACTAGCAATACGTTCTATTTCTGGAATTGGTTAGAAAAAAATCGCTACACTCAAGCAAGTAGCTTCTCAACTCTATCAGGTCAGTTTTTCTTACAATGAGTGCATCTAGCTGTTTTGCCTTTTTTGCCGGAAACCGACCGCAACTAGATTGCGCTGCAAATCAGCAATAATATCGCCGTAGTAATTTTATTGTGGGTTTCGTGAATTTCCACTTTCAAAGGACCTATCTAGTATAAGGCGTTATTGACGTGTTTTTTCACTCAATCAATAATAAAATGTGAAACCTTTTAAAATCGTAAGTCCTTTAGAGAATTGACATTTGATTTTGATTTTCGGTGTACGAAAACTTTTAAAAAGTAATAATAATACAGTACTGTATCAACACGTATAAGAAATACTAGTAACCTCGCCTTGCCGCTAGATGGCGCTAGATGGCGCTAGATGGCGTTGGGATCAAAATAGAACGCGCTATGGAAGTGTTTACTAAATTACTATTTAAATTGTAAAATGAAATTTTACAGACAAAGACAAAGCTAAAGTATCTAAACAGCGTGCAAAATTTATACTTATTTTGATAGGGTTGGCACAAGAGAATATAATTAAATAAACAAAACTTTATGATATGCGAGCATATTTTATTTAATGCAAATGGCTTATTCTAAATATTTTTTTATCATTTTTGTTTTTCAATAATTTGTTGTGCCTTTTAATTGAATGGTATCTATATTCTAAATTTATCATAAAGTCTTTTTAAATAGTCCAATGGAAAGCACTCACATGGCATATCAAATTTACAATTTTGCATACGTTTTAGTATGTCACTACCAATATTAATAGTGTTTAGTTCTGTAATTTGACCTCGTTGTATCATCAATTACCATGAGCTTTTCGGTGAATGAAAACGTCGTGACGAAACCAGCATGTCGAAGAACGGCTACAAGCCTCGGAAAACGTGTGTTGTCCCCAACACTCATTGGGCCAGCGTGGCGGACTATGACCTAAAACCGTCGCCTAAGAGGAGACCCGTGCCCAGCAGTGGAACGTATAAATGGGTTGAAAATAATGACCAGAACTTGTCAGATGCACATCAATGTAGCATCCAAAGACGATATATACTTCATTTTAAGGAAAGGGGAAATATAAATTCTAAATTGGCAGAAAAATGTTTAATTTGTTTAATACATAAAAATATTTATTAGTTTCCCGACGTTTCGGCCAGGTTGCACTGGCCGTGGTCACGGGCTGACTGATTCGTATGTAAACGCGTTTATTCCCGTTTCCAAATGTTAGATTTATTGGTCTTGTTTATAATGCCGGAATATGCGGAGAGATTGGTAAGGTATAAAGCAAAAGTAAGGTAAGTTAGCTTAGCACATGTAGCCGCAGCATGTCTTCATACATCTGTTCTAATCTAACCGAGCAAACTGAACTATGTGGGCTAACACTACCCAACGATCCTGAGTTAAGTAAACTCTATCGCCATTCACCCCCGTGCAGGCAAAGACTAGCGTTTAGTGGCAGCACTTCATTAAGACCCCGTATTTTCTTATCTTAAGTGCAAGCCACACCGCGAGCGAAGTTAAGTTAACTTAAGCTCACGTTAGGAGGTTCTCAATTCACAGATCTATGAAAACATGTCACGGCTACGTGAGCTAAAGTTAAGTTAGCTTAGCTCATGTAGTTGCCCCCTAAAATGGGTTGCCGCTCGTCCTATCCTCCGCGACTCTGGCGGGGCTGCACCGCTTAGGGTGCAGATGCAGTGGCGGTGGGGCCGCGGGGGAAGAGTCTCCTTGTGTCGTTGTCGCTCGTTCTGTCCTCCGCGGCGGAATATGGGCGATTGGCCCGTGGGGTGGGTGCTCCAAAGGTCTCTCTACGGAGAGTCCACGTGGATGCACGTAAGGTGTTGCGGCGGAGCCTACCAACAGATCCGCCGCGGGGGCTGTGTGAGCATCCTCTGAACATCACAGTTGAGGGGATGTTGTCCTGGCCCCATGGCCATGGCCTAGGTAGCAGACTCGGGGGAGTTGCAAGATGCAAGTCTCGTCTGGCGTTCGGCGAGCCTTACATTTGGAGTCAGGGGACCGTTGTGTCTCCCTTTTCAGGGAGGGCTGCGCTGGGCGGCCTGCAGTGGAGAGGAGGAACACCCCGGGGTTTTGGTGCGGTCGGGTTGCTCCCCTTCAGGGTTCAGCCCAGTCCCACATAACCCCGGTTATGCCCCCGTAAGGCCAGGGTATCTGTACGCAGATTCCCTCGGGTAATTATTATGAAAATATTAGTATTATGAAAAGAGGAAAGTCGCCTGGTCACGACGGGCTCAGCATCGAGCATCTGCAGCATCCGGGCGCACACCTTCCGCGAGTATTAACTTTGCTATTCAACCTATGCCTAGGGCATTCGTACATACCACAAAATTTAATGCAAACCGTAGTTGTACGGATTGTAAAGAATGGGACAGGAGATATAACGGACAAGGGAAATTACAGACCCATATCTCTTGCTACTGTGATAGCCAAGGTGTTTGATAGTGTGCTTGACTGTCGTCTTGGTGAACACACCAGGCTACACGATGCCCAGCTTGGCTTCCGGGCGGGGTTGTCCACTGAGAGTGCGATACTGGCAAATACTACCTAGATCGAAAGACCCCCGTGTACGCTTGTTTCCTGGACCTCTCTAAAGCTTTTGATCTTGTGTCGTACGATGTACTGTAGGAAAAGCTCGAGAGGGCGGGTGTCCCTGCCGAACTGGTTAGTATTTTGTCGTATTGGTACCAAAATCAGACGAATAATTTAAAATGGGCCAATGTATTACCTGATCAATATAGACTCGAGTGCGAGGTAAGGCAGGGGGGGTTAACCTCTCCTAGACTCTTTAATATTTATGTAGACCAGCTAATCAGAGAGCTTGGCAGCACCTATGTCGGATGCCACACAGAGCATGTATGCTTTAATAATATAAGTTACGCCGATGACATGGTGCTGCTGGGGCCCACAGTTGGCAGTTTGCGTAAATTAGTGGCTATTTGTGAGGCTTATGCTGAAAAACATGGTCTGAAGTACAACTCCAAAAAGAGTGAGCTCGTGGTATTTAAAGGCAGAAACAGACCTCCTGGCTCAGTCCCTCCTGTGTACCTCAATGGTTCGCCATTGCAAAGAGTTGCGCGGTTTAAGTACCCTGGGCACATTGTGAACGAAGATCTAAAAGATGAAAGCGATATAGAAAAAAAAACGCATGGCGCTGTCTGTAAGGGGGAATATGCTGGCTCGGAGATTTGCTGGTTGTTCACTTGATGTCAAGGTCACGCTTTTCAAGGCATATTGCCAAACGTTCTACACCAGCAGTCTATGGACTCGTTATACACAAAGATCGTACAGCGCCCTGCGCATATTGTATAACAACCTGTTCCGGTTGATGGTGGGGTTTCCTCGTCACTGCAGTGCGTCAGGTATGTTTGCTGCTGCGCACAAAGACGGCTTTTTTGCGCTCATTAATACGCAGAATGCGGGGAAGCGCCAACAGTCTCCTGCAAGTTGTCGCGCGATGTCTGGACAGTGCTGTGCTAGGCAGGTTCAACGAGCTGCCCGCTACACGTGCGCCTCGGTGATCGAGCCGACAGTAGTGTATCTGCTGTTCATTATTATTACTATACTAACATAGTTATTAAGGGTTTTGTTTACTAACAATCTATGGACCATTTAGGTGTCTGTCATTTTATTTATTTTATTTTAATAAAAAAAAAGCTCTCGTAGGTGCATGTAACCAACAATGCAACCTTAGCTCAGTTAGCTTAATTCACGGTTTCAGCAGATGTATGAAAACATGCCACAGCTATGTGAGCTAAAGCTTAGCTTAGCTTTGCTCGCCGTGTGGCCTGCGCTTTAGCTTTGCATGCAGCTAGAAGTGGCCTCTCCTTTAGTCTGCCAACTTTAGAATTGTTCATCAATATTGTGTTGTTAACTTCTCAAAAGGAAAATGTTCATCATATGGAGTATATCCCAGATATTCAAAGTCGTAGTCATCCATTTTGTCAGTTACAAAATCTTCAACGTCTTCAATGGCCGATTTTCGATAAAAAAGTGCGTCTGATTTTGAATACTCAAAGTATGTATCATCCAAAGAGTACGGATTTGTTGATTCTTCTACATCATAGTCGTAATAACCATCCCTATTATTATTGTCCAGTCTCAGTGACTCCAACGCTCTTCTAACAGTCGATTTACGAGATTTTGTGATACGTGCATTTCGAAATTGTTTATAACATAATCTGGTACAATCTAACTTATGATTAATTTTCAATTTGTCGGTACAGCCAAATTCATTGCAGAAAGTCCTGAAAATTGCGTGGCAAACACTAATGCATGGCTTTATAACATCATAACAGCCAAGCAATTGCCTAAAAAAAAAAGATTACTTATTATATTATAAGATTCTCATTTCAAATCTGTGCGCAAAAGCGTTTTTGCACGCTAGCGTGGAAAAGATTTTTGAAACTCGAACTTAACGATGAACTGTAGTGCACCTAACTTTTTCTTTCGATAAAAAAAAATGATAATGACACCTTCAATTACGCGATTTGTCGTACATTATTTATTTATGTAATATAAATCCATTGGTATATTTTATTCTTATTATTGTTGACATTAAATTGACAATGATAACTAATTAAGTAAACTTTTTCTTTTAATTAAAAAAACGGATTATAAATGGATACCATTTTCCTCGCTATAGTGCGGTGAAAAGTTGTGTGTTTCGCTCGGCAGCAAACTTGTCTTGCGTCTCGTGCCTTGAAACCCTCGCTACGAGTGAAGCGAGAGGTTCAAAAGTAGATTTCTGAGCGAAATCTACTTTTGAACCTCTCGCTTCACTCGTGATTCAATCTTGGCTTCCTTCGTTTGCTCAGGTTTCAATACAAGCACTCGCGTCAAACAACAATTTTGCAGCCTTGCATAACAGATAACTATTGTCCTTGGTATTTGTAAAGAGCCTGAACGTGTTGGTTTGTTTAAAAAATACACTATTTTAGATCAGAAAAAATGAAGAAAGAAAAAGAAAGAAGAAAATACATTTTACATACTTGTGTACCACAACGACACCGCAAAAGAAAAAAACGAAACAAGTCAGAAGAAAAACAAATGATAATCAAAACATTCAACTTAAAACATAAACCAATAATTACGAAACAAAAACATAAACAAAAAAATAATGTCAAAATTTGATTCAATTAAAACATGAACTATTTACACAAACGCGGAAAAGAACACTAGATATAAAGATACTATTTTAGTTGGTTGACATCCGTGTTAAGAGGTTTCCGGTATCAATGATTAATAATAACGATTACTGCAAATCTTTCGGCTTTTATCAAGGGAAAAAGAAGTATTATTAATTTTACAATAGAGATACCTTATTTTGCGAAGTAAAATTATAATGAGTGTTCATAATTCTATAATATCTAATGTATGCAAAGTAAGTAAAATGTATCTTTTTATTTTATTAACCGCAAAAATTTGAAAAAAATGTTTTTTTTTTCAAAATGCTGATTTTGACATTAAAGTGGTTTGACACGGTAGTATTGTCATACGGAGCTAAGTTATTATTTAAATTTAAGCTGCCGAGAACTATATTGATTTTGCAAAGATGTCGTTAATATGACTAAGTCTACAAAAATGTCTTTTGCTCGACACTGGCCATATAGAAAAAACGATAGATGAAAAGCCTGGAGCGAGGAAGTAACTAACGGAAGAATTTGTGCTAAGCGGTACAGAGCATTTCTTAAATCAAAAGCATAACCTTACCTGTAATCTGATTGATCATGTATTATCAATACGGACCGGTCATTATTCAATATACAAAGAGCATAGACTATATATTGATAAATTTTAATTTTAAAAAATTAACTTGATCCGACAGCCCGCAGACTATTTGATAAATTGGGGTTTGAATTTTCGAAAATTTATCACTTGGCAAAAGTAGGGTGTAGGTAGCCCCGCGGGGCCGGGGTATCTGTAAGCAGATTCCCCCGGATTATCAAAAAAAAAGGTGTCCCTACTGTTAGCAGACAATAACCTAGCCTAACCCAACCAAAAAAGTACAGATCATTTGTTTTACTACTTTGACAGGACAAGCTGGTCATTATTCATAAAGACCTGATTAATCATGCAATTTGAATTACTATACCCATTTAATGCAATCATTATTAATACAGTGTCCCTCACCGCTTAGCTTACGACTTGTTTGTCCCGTCATTTGATATCATAAAAAAATCCGGCCATTATACATAGTGACCGCGTTTATCAAGTTGCCCGTAACAAATATATAATATTAGAAAAGCGCTGAGTTCAAAAGTATTCAATTCATAACGTCGACTTGTGCGATACCTTGGAAATGTTCTTTTTGTTTTTGTGGTTGTCGTTTCTGTAGTAATTTCCGTTGTCTCTGGCGTGCTTGTTGTCATAATCTCAATTTCATCCGTGTTTGTTGCATTCGTGACTGAAGTTTCCGTTGTCTCTTTCGTGTTTGTTGTCACGTTTGTTTCCTCCGTTGGGTTCGTAGTGTCATCATTATCATCATCATAGTCTCTACCGCCGTCATCGTCGTAATCGCCTCTCATTATTTTCTCCATAATTAATATTTTTCCCCACCTTGAGAGAGGAAACTTGTTTCTTAGTTCTCTTTTTGCTCTTCGACCTTTCGTATATTTTAATTCTCCAAATTGATTCATTGCTAAGGTATTCATAAAGTTAGTGCCATCCATGCGTATTTTAGATCTATTTAATTTATTTTCTCTAATAATTTCAGACGTTACATACTTTGTAAATTCGAGATACCCAATGAAGGTAGAATTAAAATCGTATTCAGGAGACCCATAAATCCAGTGATGGTTCTGAAATGTGTCGTATAAATAATGTTTAATTACTCAATCACGTCGTACCTGAAAACTTAATAAGCAATACTTGATTTCGTACAAAGATTCTAAGATAATCAACATTTTAAAATAAAAACATCTGAACAAGTTACACTAAGGTTAAGATTTATTAACGAACTTTAACTTCAACTAAGCAAATATGGCGAGCTAAGCAAGTTTTTCGTTTTTTTTTTGCATTAAAAAATATCACCTGATGGAAAGTGACGATGAGGTCGACGATGGAGCATGTACACCTAAATAACGCCTATTCACTTTTGCCATGAAAAGGCCCAGTTCAAGGAACAAGTTTACAGGCAGGAAATTCGGCTCCATAGCCGTTCGCCATATAGATGTGGAAGCGAAACGCTTCGTATGAAGCTTTGGAATATCCACAACATACAGGACGAAGACCAGCTTACGCGTAGTCCTCCGATGATGGAAAGGTAAAGGCGGAATTAAATCTTATTTGCAAAACGAATTTTACCTATTGATTGTAAAGAATATTATTATTATATACTATATTATGTAATAATAAAATTCAAAATTAATCTTTTCAGCCACGGGAGAGACGAGACTCTAAAATAGATATGTATAATAATAATAATAACGCACACACTCAACATATCCCCGCACTCGGAAACCCTGTCTTGCGGGTACCGTGGACGGGTGTGTAATGGAAGACATAACAAATAATCTATTTTCACTTTGTATAACAACATTTGATATAATTTCTAAGGATATAATCACTCACTGTATATAATCAATAAAAGGTATAACAACAAAAGGCATAATTTCAATGTGTATAATAAACCTTCAGTAAAACAAATATTAGATATAATGATTAAGTGACATAATGAACAAATGGTATAAGTACTACCAGTATAATGTATTAAATAATACAATATTTCATTTTACGCATAGTTGAAGCGCTCTATATTATGTTAATAAGGTTTTTTTTATTTCATTAAATGTACAATCGCAAAATATAATTATTTAAATGCTTTTTGTGTTATAAAATATACTATTAAATTTTTAAGCAGAATATTTGATTGCATATACTATCCTAACCTAAACCCACAGGATGAGGTCGAACCAACTAGTAAATGCAAACTAATTCAGTTCTGGTAATCTATGGCCCCTGCCGCGTCACGTTCCCTGCGCTCGCTCGGCTCGTGTAGCTTTGTCATATATTAACCTAACCTAAACCCACAGGCAGAGGTCGAACCAACTAGCAAATGCAAACAAATTCGGTTCTGGCACTTTGTTATATACTAACCTAACCTAAACCCACAGGCAGAAGTCGAACCAACTAGCAAATGCAAACAAATTCGGTTCTGGCAATCTACGGTCGCTGCCGCGGCACGTTCCCTGCGCTCGCTCGGCTCCTGCAGCTTTGTAATATACTAACCTAATCTAAACCCAAAGGAGGAGGTCGAACCAACTAGGAAATGCAAACAAATTCGGTTCATTCACCATTGCACCTAAACACCACTAGAATTATATTAATAATACATTATATTCAGCGACTGTTCTATCTGAAGTGTTTATATAAAATGAACATTATGTACCTAGTGACCTTTATATCATGCAAAAATATGTCAAATGTCTGTATACCATAAATTAATTATATCTGTTGAACGTTATATCGACTAAAAAATGTCATTTGTTGTTACATATTTCGAACCGCACCCCAGGCGCCGCGCCCGAGTAGCGTACGCGTCAGTGTGACTGCCTGTCAGGGAATACCCGTATTACGACCATAGATATAGAAAAAAATGGGAGATATGTAAGGACGCTATGTAAGATCGGGTGCCGATGTCGCCACTTTTTAGCTTGTTTGCAATTCAAACTTGACGCTCTATTATCTACTACCATAACTTAAAGATTTTCATTGGGTAGAGTTTAAAACGACGTAAAACAATTTTAAAATTTAACAAAATTAAACTTACAGTCACTTGAATAAGAGTTCTATTACAATACTTCAGTATTTTTTCATCCTGGTTCAGCCATTCACCAATAGGTGGCGTTTTAGTAAAAATACTACTAGTATATAATAGCTAACTATGTAATAGTTAGCTATTATATACTAGTTAGACGTTAGATGGCGCTGAAACTCATTGTTCGACATGCAATTAACTCCCACTAACTTCGCGGTCCGTTCCGCAATCGCAACGCTTTCATGCCCGCAACCGCGGCAGCTACGTGCCCGCATAAACTTGCAGGGTCGTGAGTATCGAAATAAAACCGCTGTCTAGCAGCACCGGCGGGCGCGGGTGGAAACCGCTCCGTGAATTGTTATCCTTATTAACTCAACGAGTGATGTGATCCTACCTAATCTATAGTTGGAAACCATGTGGCTGTTTTTCATATTAAAAAAAATGTTCCATTTTTCATACTGTATCTACACTGGTACTGGTGTATTATTAAATTAATACATTAATATAAATATTATTATTTTCTTAACGGCGGCCACTAGGCTTGGACCAGTGTCAGTATTATAAGAATAATATAAAAAATATGGCGAGTGAGCGATCGCTTCAATCCAACCTTCTTTTATTTTCAACTCATTTGAAAAACTTAAAAATTAAAAATACTCTACGTTTAATCTACGAGTGTAATGGAATTTAAATATCTTAAATATCCAAAACACATAATTTTTTTTCAAGCAACAGCAACATTCAAATTGACATGAAATTGAAACGGTTGTCCGAAATATGAATTGTGTTAAAGTTACTCGAACTTAAATGTTTAGTAATAATAATAATAATAAAATAAAAGAAATCAATTTAACGTGAATGCTTTTCGCTTCGATATTTTAGGGACTTTAATTACAAAAATCATAGTAAGGAATTCAAACATTTCAGTAAAAATTTACTGTCGATAAACATGTCTTCATAATTGAACATCACTATATTTGAGTCTATAAATTTCTATGGAGACAAAATGAAAATATTGAATAATAATAGAAATAGTACCTAAAAAAGGAAATAGCCGGTGGAATGTTATCTCACTGGTTTTAAAAATTTTCAATTCAATTTTTAAAAGGTGTTTTACGAGAGACCTTGCATGTACAACGATCGCCATGTCACTGTGACGATGTTTGTAGGCGTGTCACCGTTTTGACCATATCGAGGCGACATACCATACCTTTTTTTCTATATCTATGATTACGACGAATGGAAAAGCCGCTACATCAGCAAAGTCTGTGGTGGCGGGCGACATATCCCCCGACCCGCAACCGCGCATGTTGTGTTGCCGTCCATATAAATACACTAAATTCCACCCGCCGAGCTCGCGACTCGACATGCGTCCTACCCGCACGCGCTCACTGCGCGTTTACGCTTAAGCGCCCAATAAGGCGATTAATACACTGCACCGCGACCCGCGACAGAGCGCGGAGCTGCGTTTTTTAACGTTGTACTGGAGTACCCCAGTTTGTACGGAAAACACGCGCCGTCCAACACACTGAGGAGCGCGGCGCGCGCCGTTCTAGCGCGCCCCCGCGCCGTTCTAGCGCGCCCCCGCGCCGTTCTAGCGCGCCCCCGCGCCGAGAGACACGGCGAACCGCAGAATATGGCACACTGCGCTTCGCATTACCGCGCAGATTTTTAAGCGTAAGGACGTGTTCAGTTTTCTACAATGGATCTCGACGTCGATAAATTTATATTTGCTATTGAAAATCGACGAAAATTTGTATCTATTCCAGTAAATGTCGTTCGGATTCTCCCTACGAAATAATCAAAGGATTCAGTTGACATCGTGTGTAGTTGAAAAATAATAATCTTCATATTTTCTGGAATCTTTGTATTGAAGTTGAAATGATCCATTTATCGATGTGGTTCGTAAAAAGTAATGCATCCAAAATCTTCGGTGTCTTTTTATTTAAGTAAACAAAAACCAAATAGACAGTATAACTACAACGTCCTGATGAGTTCTGTATTATTAACCACTCTGGTTAAAGAAGAATCTCAGCTACATGTACAATCACTACGGCGATCAACCACAAAGCGAGTATTTTAAGTGGCGCGGGGCCGTTAGACCGCTGCCCCCGCGCAAATTAAACCGTGCGTTGACGCAGATCTGCGTCTCTGCCACCGCGCGCGTGATTCCACGTCTCGCGCACCTTCACGTCGCGCGGTGCATTGTGTTATTCGCCTTACAAGACGCGAAAGTTTTCGCGCGGCCGCCGCGCGGCAACCGCCCAGTTACCACGCCTTCATGTACATTAATGGCGAATCTGAATTCTATTTACTAGGCTACAACATTTAAATTCCTTTGAATAATACACGTCAACGTCAGCGTCCGGGACGGTCATTTGAGTTAAAACGTAAATAAATATAACGTATTGTGCCATGAGAGTTAAACGCACGCAGTCGCTTGCCGGCGGCCGCGCGGGGTGAGCGCGATTAAATTGGTGTCAAATAAATGCGCCCTAAGGGTTTATTACGCCACTCACTGGGTTTCTTTTCGTGACAACGCCTTCGTGCTGTAATATAACGTCTTCATACTTAGGTTCAATTTACATTGCCGTAGGAAGCGAACCTTTGAAACGAGATTGCACATAGAATAATGAACTTCATGTTAGTTGTGTAACGTACACTTTAGATTCAGAAACATCTTATCGTATCGATGACATACACTATAATGCTTGTAATCGTGGTGAAAAACTTTGTCAATCGGCCTAAGGTGATTGTAGCCCAAGATGCACCAGACGTACAGGAAAGGTGTACACCACAACCGTCACAACCTTAATGACGTCACATTAGATATTTATTAACATTTTGTTAAAAAGAGAGGGAGTCACAAAATAGGCGTCTGGACGTCCAATGGTCAGGTATAACGGGCTGTTGAACACCAGCCCGTTATACCATACCATATCATCTCCATATAACCGATTTTAGCCATTAATATCTCTGATGTTAGGTGGGATAACGAATTACATTATATTTATATACGTATTAGTGTATCATCATTTTCTTAATATTATGTATTCGTGCGATATAATAATATTATTTAATAATAATATTATATAGTATATAATAATATTATATAATAATAATATTATTATATCACACGAATACATAGGTAAAATAAATTTGATATAATAAATTTATTATTTAATTATTGAGTAGTTGAATGTTACATTCAATTTTATGATTTATAAGATTTTATTGCCGACTCAGGAACCAACTTTCCTTTCAATTATTCAAAGGTTAGCTGGAAGAAATCCCTTTATGGGTTAAACTTTGTACAACAACGTTCTATTTGTTTGTTAAAAAGACTGTAATTTTGTTTTTGTTGTACAATAAAGTGTTTACATATATACAATACAGGTTGTAAATTTGAGACGGGGCAGCAAGGCCACCTACCTTAATCGTTGTACGTACAGGAAAACGTTTCTAGAAGACTATCCATGAATTTTGAAGATATTTGGATTGGCATTCACAGATTTAAAAAAAACGGTACAGTCAACAAGATAAAAGGCAATTTATACAAAACTTTTTTTTATGCCATTCGATCCAGTCTCTGGTAAGGATCAATAGTCTCCATGGGACAAACTGAGGTAAGAGTACTCGAAATGTCAGAAATCGCATATACTTTGTTTTTTTTTTGCAGGGATATATTTAGTAATCAATTATTCTAGGTAGTTAAGGAAACTAATAAATTAGTCTACAAATAAGAATTAAGTAAAACCACAATATTATTATAATCACAACATTATTTTTTGAATTTCGAACAGCTTTGTTTTGTTTTGTTAATAGAGAATTGTCACTTTTAATACAATTTTTAATCAAAATGTTCTCAAATGTGGAAACAAATGAATTCGAGTAAAATTTCAGCCGCTACTTGCTCTTTGCGGAAGAGAGCGAATCGATGCATCCGCCAAGGCGGCAATCAATTCTAGCACTATCATAGATTTTTTGTGTTATTTTGCTTTTCTTTATTGTTTTTATTTTGAAATACATGATACGTATACAATTTGTTAATTTCCTTAACTACCTAGAGGAAGTGATGACTAGATATGTCCCTACAAAATGTATGGTAAAAAGTTTTTTGCGATTTCTGACATTTCGAGTATTCTTACCACAGTTGGTCCCATAGAGACTACATAGAGACTATTGATCCTTACCAGAGACCGGATCGAATGACATAAAAAAAGTTTTATATAAATTGCCTTTTATCTTGCTGACTGTACCATTTTTTTCAAAATCTGTGAATGCCAATCAATATATCTTCAAAATTCATGGATAGTCTTCTAGAACCGTTTTTTTGTAACTACAACGATTAAGGTAACCGGCCTTGCTGCCCCGTCTCAAATTTACACCCTGTATATTCATTTTCAGCGTGTTCATGTGAGTTGATTGAAGTAATAAAGTAATTTGAATCAGATACTTATTTATCGTGCTCTCACATCGAAGTACACGTAGCTAAATTGAATCCTTACTTAAATAATAATTATGTAAAACATTTCCCAAATTAGCAAACGTTTAATGGTATAGAAAGTTTTAAAGTTCAAAAATGTTTTTTAACTTATTTCATTGTTACTGCGTAACTAATCATCGTATTTCACATGGATGTACTACAAAGACGTTGTATATACTGATGGCTTTCTAGAAATGTGGGCTATCTCAATAACATCTAATTCATCAGGAAGATGGTTTAGAAAATATATCTTTAACTTACTCCTCTACGCTTACTCAACTTCAGAAGATGCTCGACCTGTATTTTGGCTCGTAGATACGAGCCAAAATAACGTTCGTACGTTACAGAATTTTTTTGTATGTTTGAATGTTTTTGTTGACATAAATGTTATGTAGTATTCTGTAAAAAAAATTTGCTTCCGTTCCGTTCTGCAGCAATGTAAATTGAGCCTGAACTACCCGCAATAAAGTTACATTCTCAATCCGAAGCTCTTTCATTTGAGATAACAAATATCATCGATTGTCGTTTGACGAAAGAAATTTTAAATATATTTATTTATTAAAACTTTATTGACCACAAGACATGATGGTATAAAAGGTACGTAATGCTAAAAGCATTCTCTACCAGTCAACATTTAAGAAAAACTAAATTCACGAACGCGGCGAATTATTATATTAATAAATTATATATTACATATTATTATTTATAACAGACGAACCTAATACATTCGTACATATAACCCAACACAATCATATACATAATATGAATATATATACAGAATATGATGATGGTTATTATTGTGACAAACAATTTAAAGGATGCTCATGAAAATCCTTTCGAAAGAATATACTGGGAGACCTTCTGGTGGAATCTGGGAGAGCATTCCAGAGACGTATCGATTGGAGAATGGAGGAGTCCTACATGAAGCCAGAATGAAAGAGAGGTACAGTGAGTGAGAGTAAATTCATGGATCGAAGAGGGAGGTTGTGAGAGTCCCCGAGATATTGAAATTTTCATTTTAAGTATTCTTTCTGGATAGTGAGGATTGAAAAGAATAGAGTACAACGTGCAGAAGACTCTCTTCTGCCGACGTTAACGAATAGGTAGCCATTTAAGTTGAGACTTGAAAGAAGAAACATGATCCAATTTGCGCAAGCAGAAGATGAAACGGATAGCATTATTGAGAAGGCGCTCCAACTTATCTAATAGATTTTCATTGAGATCAGGGTAACAGACATCAGCATGATTAAGGAGTGGGAATATCAGGGAGGTGACAAGTAAGATCTAGTACGAATAGGAAGAAAATTCCGAAAGCGGTTGAGAAAACGTAAAGAAGAAATAACCCTACGACTAACCTCGGACACCTGTGAGGACCAACTTAGTGTAGAGTCAATGTAGAGGCCAAGATTTCTAACACTAACGCTGAGTGGAACAGACGAGTTTTCATACACTACATGATGGAGCGAACTATGGTCAATCTTGGATATCTATGGATTGGATATGGTCAATGGTGGATCTTGTTTAGATCCACCTACGATAATAGCTTGACATTTCAAATGATTGACAGATATCCCAAAATTAGTTGACCACGCACTAACGCTTTGTAGATCGCGGTTATTCAGAGAAATCGCTGAATTAACGTCATTAGCAGATGCCTGCATGTAAATCTGCAAGTCATCACCATAAAAATCATCATCAGCCGTCTGTCCAGACTACACAATGAGTATAGTGCAGCAGTAGATATTTTCTCGGACTCGATAACCGGTCTCCGCAAGGCAATCCTTAGCAAGTAAACTACAGTATTCGTAGCATTAATTGCAAAAATTTATATTACACTAAACCTTTACATTTAGGATTTATATTTTTTATTCTGGTTGTCATATTTTATCGTTGTATTCAGTTTGTTCTTTTTTCTTTGTATAATACACTGTAATATTAAGACTATTCTGCTCAATTTAATGCGAGTTGTGGTTCATCTTTATATAGTTGTAATAAATAAAAATGGTAAGAGCAGTTAAATGAGAAAGAAAGAAAATTAATAAAAAGAGAGAACAAAAGTGGTGACAGAATTCCTATTAATAATAGGGGTTAAAGTATGAAATTGCCGATTTGTACTGAAAATCTAAATTGTTTATTTTTTAAATTTTTAACAAATTTATTTAATCAAAATAGTTGCCATTATTATCTATACATTGCTGCCATCTAATGGGAATGTTATTAATGCCTTTGCGATAGAACTCCGACGATCTAGACTGCACAAACTGTGTGAAAGCATTTTGTACTGCCTCCTGGGAAGAATATTCTTGTCACGTAGATAATTGTCCAAATCACGAAAAAAATGGTAGTCCGTTGGAGCAAGGTCTGGTGAATACGGAGGATGACGAATGGTTTCTAACTGCAGTTCCTGAAGGGTCAAAATGGTTTCTCGTGCTGTGTGAGGTCTCGCGTTGTCGTGGAGCAATAATGGTGAAGATCGATTCATGAGTCGGGGCTGTTTTACTGCTAGTTTTGTCAACATGGTTCGGGGTTCGGCACAATAGACATCTGCCGTTATTGCTTGACCAGATCGGAGAAAACTATAGTGAATAACACCATGCTGAGACCACCAAACAGTTACCATTACCTTTTCATTGGTAAGTTTTGCTTTAGGACACTGTTGTGGCATTTGACCTGGGGTCAGCCATTGCATTTTTCTTTTCCGGTTATCATAAAGAATCCACTTTTCATCACATGTTACAATTCGATCCAATATTCCTTCATTTCTGTACCGGTTCAACAAGGCAACACAAGTTTCAACACGCGTTTCTTTCTGCAGATCAGTCAAATCATGAGGCACCCATTTTTCGTATTTTTTTATTTTATTGATTTGACGCAAGTGAGTCAATATTGTGGGTAAGGTAACGTTAAACCATGCCGCTAATTCCTGGGTAGTTTGACTAGGATCGGCTTCCACTATCTCTCTTAATTCATCGTTATTCACCTGTGTGGGCGGTCTTCCTCGTGGCTCGTTCTTTAAGTCGAAATTTCCATCACGAAAGCATTTAAACCAAAATCGCATGGTGCGTTCATTAGTAGACCCCTCTCCAAACGCAGCATTGATATTGCGGGCTGTTTCTGCCGCGTTAGTTCCGCGTCGGAACTCGTATTCAAAAATCACTCGAATTTTCGTAGTATCCATCTTTCTTGTCTAAATTGAATAACAAAAACAATTGAAATTCGATATTCAAATGTTTCAAATTTAAAAAAAAAATCACAGAAACCATTTGAAAAAAGTTTCATTCGAAAACCTCAAACCATGAAGATTCTATGAAAATTCAAAGAACCTATTGCAATAAAACGGCAATTTCATACTTTAACCCCTAATATATTATATGGTCGTAAGATTATCTCAGTATTTTTTTAAGTCACAAACTTAGTGTTTCCTTGGTTTGTTCGTTCTAGCCAATAACTCATGAAACAAGTCTAGAATAAAACCGGTTAGAAATGGAGAAAATATTTCAAAACAAACTTACTAATGTAGTTTTTAGTACTAAGAAACAGAAGAAAACTTTGGTTGGACCACACATATCATTTGGAATATAGTTTATCTAAACTCAAGTTAACATTTTCTTCCATCTCTGTGCAAACTCTGGGTAATTTTACTGTTATTTCGATTACTTTATTCCTATTTGATTGTGAATGCTATAAAACGTTAACAAGATATTGCGTAACTTATCAAATATTAGTTAAACACGAACGTTACTCTCAGATTCGGAATGATTCGCCAAACAAAAATTATTTCACAAACACGATATATAATTGTTATTGCGTACATAGATAGATGATAACACGTTTATTCAGTACAAATACAATACATAGAACATACATTATTAATATAAGCATTAATATGAAACACATAATGCGAGAAAAACAAATACTGTGAGAAAAACAAACAAAAACTGTGAAAACTGAGAACTAAAAAATTGGATGTAACTAGACTACAGTTTGTGCTGAAATAACCATGACTTATCATAAATACTGTAGACCGAGAGAAGTTAAACAGTGCTAGTTTATATGGTGAGCTTTATAAGGTGTTTATATGGTGAGCGATCGCAGCCCAGTAAACCATGACACCAAAGTGCATCACACGCAAATACATCATTACCTAACTTTAAAACTATATATCAATTATTCACTTTTCAGAGATAACTCTGAAACTCGAATATTACCTTTTTATGATACCAAGTGACGGGGCAATCAAGTCGTATGTGCCTCTAATTTCACCAGCTCTACTGGTACTAAAACCTATATGACTACTTACCTGTTTACCATAGACTTATTCCCATCTTATCATCCCTAAAACCGATCCCCTGGGGGATCGTTTTATTTTAAATTATTTTCTATTCCCATCGGATCCCCAATGCAGTGGATCAAGAATAAATATTAATATTTTATTCCCACCTGATACCCTGGTACTTCCAAGTTTATTTTTGGTAGGTACTATGATACAGTCGACAAGAAAATCTATCCATCTCATCAAGAAAATGTATATCATTGTATATTAAACTAGATTTTAAATATTGCTCATGACTGATTTATGTTACATGTGATTTGCAATACGCCAATATCAAAAAAAATTATTGTCTGTGATAATTGTAACATTTGATCATATATCGTCAATAAATTAATATTTGATTTCAAAACTTCTTTTGACTGTACTTATCTCGCAAATACAATGATTCAAGGGAATACGAGGGATATAAGGGATCCGTTGGGAGTTGTAACATATAGAGGGGATCAGTTGCAATTTTAAATTGGCGGTGGATCACTTTTGGGGACCAGATGGGAATAAATCTTACCATAAAATATTTCGCAATGGTTTTATGTCGTTATAGTTTTGGTTAGCTCTCTATGTGGCTCATACAATTTTCTAAATAATATTTATGAATAATCATAAATATTATAATAATAAAAAAAATAATCATGGAAAATTTGTAGCTCAGCTATTATGCAGCTGTAAAGTTGCTTTTGTGAGAAATGCCTGTGAGCGGCAGACTTGTGAGTAATTTTTTAAACCATTTCATCTTCTTAGGTACGGAACTCTAAAACGTTCTCAACTCACTTAAGAGAGTGATTGAACGATTGTATCATTTATTTATAGAAACCATTTGCAAATAAGTAATGAAGCAACAAAACTGAAAATTATTGAAATAGCCGAATAAAAAGAGTCAAGACCTAGTTGATAAAATTATAAAATCCAAACTAATATCATAAATACGAAAGTAACTCAGTCTGTTACGTTTCCGCGTCCAAACCGCTGAACCAATATTGATAAATCTTGGTATAGAGATAGATAGAACATAGGAGAATGTCATAGGCTATTTTTGTCACAAAAATAAATTTTAAAGGGGGTGAAATAAAGGATGAAAGTTTATATGGACAACGAATAAAATTATGAAAATTAGTATAGTATAGTAGGCTACTCGAAGATCTTATTCTACGCAAACCCGTCGCGGGAACCAGCTGTATATAATCACACATATATATAATGTGTTTTGTAGCGTACTATATGTCAACAATTATATTTGTTAAAATCTACAATATAAAAATGATGTATAAGTTTATCATGTCAATGCTCCGGTATGAAAGGTGAAGTAGTCTCATTTGACTCTACAGTTCCTGAGCTTGTGTAGCGTAAGGCCTGCATAACGGCACCATGTAACGCTATATTACTATTACCACATAGTTCCTTGCTATATATATTTCGAGTGCTTACAGCACTCGCAATCTCATAATACAACATTCCTATCAAAATCAATATCTCAAATTTACTTACCTCATCCTTTACTACATGAAAAATAGAACACAGGTAAATATTTCTATCAGATGCATTTCGGGGAGTGTGCGCAGAAACTTTTCAATTTAGTTCCAACCTCACCGTTCCTGCTTCGGAACACTCCATCCTTGTGTCGTTTATGTACCACCTAGTCGCACTAAGCGCTTTGCTTCCTCCTTTCTGATGCATAGGTCAAAGGAATGGAATATGGCATTCGTATTTCCCAAAAAGTATAATTTGGGGCTATTCAAGGCTAGAGTAAATAGTTATTTTTTAGGCAAACGCGAGACGCGTTGTCGATCACTCGTTGCTTAACATCAGGCGAGACTGTGGCCAAGCGTATAACAGACATACGCTTGGCCACATATATTAAAAAAAAACATAATTATAACTTTTTTTATAAAAAGGTTCCACAAATACAAATTTCGTGCGGCATAGGCGACAGACTTTATCGATTTTTTTATTAAGTTGTCAGTTTTTGTGTTGTACATGATCAACATCATCATCAGCCTATACGCATCCACTATTGGACCAAAGCATCCCCCTTGAGTATGCCAACTCTCCCGGTCCTGTGTCGCCCACATCCAGCCGCTACCGGCTGTAGTTTGTTTTATACAAAATGCCTTTTTCAACTCTTCTCGAGCCACACGCATTATGTACCGGAGGAATGATACCGAATCATCGGTATCATTTCTCCATTGTCATAATTTTTTTGGATGAATTTTCTTTATCGTCGATAATTGTTTGCATAAATACTTCTTTATCATCGATAATTTTTTGGATAAGTCTTTCTTTGTTGTAGACAATTTTATAGATAAATATTATTTTGTCGTCGATAATTTTCTGGATGATTCGTGTATCGTTAACATTCTATGATAGTCTTAATCACTCGTGACATATGAATAACTATCATTTACTCAGTACAAGTCTAATCCTAGGCTTTCGAGTTTTTACGTGGCATAATCTAGAACACTCCAAGCGGCTTTCTTTTTTCAATTGATTGGTACACTTAAATTTATTGCGAATATCTTGAAAATAGGTTTACAAGCTATAATGTATGACTTGATAATTACAAAATAGCCTTGCAGATAGCTTTGCAAAATACCTTGAAATAAAAATTATAATTATTGGAAAGACAACACTCAATAGACGTTGAACTGCCATAGTTGATCATACATAAGTTTGCTATCGCTCGTGTCAAGGCTTTAATGGACAAGCTAAATTCATAATTATTATTTTGAGGTGACAGAAATCCTAATCTTCGTTTCTCGTTAGCGTTATATACTGGGTTATTTGTAAAATAAAATAGGCAAAGAATCAAAAATGATGAAAACAATCCTTTTAAATGATTTAATAGAAAATAGGAAAGGCAATTAAAAGATTTTTTTTTTTTACATTTATTGTTTTATAAACACACATTCATGGAACACACGTTGTTGTTTATGATGTTAGTAATAAAGTCCTAGGAGGTTGTTAATATTTTACAAATAATCCTGTATAATATTACAGCTCAAACACCATGAGCTATATAATGGGACGTTGGGATTAGAATTGGCATACGACATATCGACATTAGAAATTTGAAATGTCCCTTGATAAAAAGTCTACGTTGATATGTTGGAGTTCCCACCTACGGTGTGTTTGGACGCTCCCTGGAGTGACCTTCGCTGAAGTGCAACCTCGCAGGTTTTCCAATTTACATCGAAATCCAATTCAATAATAATCCCCGTAACATTCTTATTACATTTTAGAACTGTCCAAATAAATAAAATTTAGTTTCGGCCGCCATAACGAAAGACGGTTAACGTTTTTGTCTAAAATAAACAATATAGACGCCTTCACACGACTACAGAATAGTTATTTACCCAGTTGGATTTTGGAGTTGGATTGAAATTTTTAAGTAACATTAATTAGTGTTGCAAGGGACATGCCAACTAATTTTATGACTACCTTTTTATAAGTCACTTTTTAATTAATAGCATAAAATTTTATAAGGTAGAATAAATCGTCCAGAAAAGTACTGCCACCTTACTACTTGCCACTATTTCCGCCGCCAAGCCTCAATGTGAGCATTACTGCGTTCCGGTTTGGAAGGGTAAGGGAGCAGGTGAAATTACAGGTACATGGGGCTTTTATTTTACAATCGCTAAATAAATCACGGTTTGCTCCATGACTTTGACACCCGCCAAGGGCCCGAAACGTTGTTTAAAAAAAACAAATAAACGCGATTTAAATCCGGAAAAATAGTTTCATTTCAATTGCGAAAACTCGATAAGTACTGACTTGTCCTTGTTACCCATGTGTTACCTCATCCATATCCTGGTGTTCTCATTTCATCGCCTCCATCTCTGTCTATTATTTATTCCTTTCTTTTTAGTTTTGCATTTTTTTCTATTTTCTTATCCTTTACTTTCTTTTAAATGTTTGCATTCTTTCGCTTCTATTATTTCCCATTATTTTTTATTCTTTGCTACTTTTATGTTCTTTCCACACTTTTTGTTATTGTCCATCCTTTCCTTTGTTATTGTATGTTTCGTCTAAGATCTAAAGATCAAAACTTTTGTTTATAATTTGAGTATCATGTCTTTCTCCAAACTAATTAATTGCTATACTACTAGTCTTAATTGTTGCATAGTTATTGTTGTCCTTGTGCACTGTAGAGATATTCAATTCTCTTTTTTGATTCATCGCTAATGTGATTGCCTTAATTCTTCTTAAATATCTAATTAAAGGTGTACTTGTTTTCAAATCGTAAATTATTG